TCAATATCGCGATATATGAATATGAAAGAAAAAAGATTTTTAGTCCCATAAACAGTGCATCTTATATAACACATTATCTGGACCGTCCAATTTCAAGATTTTCATATGTTTATAGATCTACTAGATTTTAACCATTTTTGGAGTTTAAAATTTTATAATTAGATATGAAAATAGATTTTGAGATAGTCCTAATAATATTTTACTCTAAAATTACATATTATGATCAAATTTGGAGGTACACTTTATTTGGATTGTTTAAGGTTGCAACCTTATAAAAACCACGCTATATATATATATATATATATAACTCAACCCTACCAGGGTCTACATTGGGTTTGGGCCCAACTAGGATGTCCATTTAAACCTGTTTATATTAACCCCCTTCCAACCCATGTAAGAGATAGAATGTTCAAAAGAGCAAAAATAATTTGAATTTTTATGAACCTTTCTTTCTAGAAAAAAATGATTGAGGAAGAGGAGAGAGGTTTCCCATTTTAATGAACTGCGACTCCACTGCGAGTCCACAAAAAGAAACAGATGTCAGTCTTAGCCCAAAAGTATTGCAATTTTTTTTTGTACGAAGTCAAAATAATTTGTACTCTTGCATAGGTGTATAGTATTCATTTACTTCCTCGGGCAAAACTTACTTGTAACTCGTGGAAAATTGCAATTTAAGCATTAGAAAATCTTTGCATCAAGATTATGATTGTGAAAACAATAGGATTTTAAACTCTAAAAATAACGCATATTATATCAAATTATCTTGACCATCCATTTTGCTCTAAAGATAAATATTTGGATGTATACTATTTTTTGAGTTTTAATTTAATTGTTGGTTTTGGAAATTGATTTTAGAGTATCGTGAAGATTTCTGCTGTCCATGGTGCTTTTTGGATGGAACTTTGAGGTGATACTTTATTTTGTTTTCATAAAACCAAGACTCTATAGAACCGCATCCATATCTTTTTGATATGAAATTTTGGAGAGGTGATCTTTAGAATCTAGCAAACCACCTCGTTGAATATATTTTTTTTTCAACTCTCTTTTTGTATCGTAAAAAAAAATGGTAAAGTAAAGAATGTGACCGTTTATCATTAATACAAGGTAGTCACATTAATCTTGGTCATTGGATGTGAAATCAGGTGAATGCTATTATTTCGTTGACCAAGCTCAAACTTCAAAAGAAATTTTCTCGAGCGTTGAGACGCATCCAAGCTATCAAATTTCACATCAATTGGCTTTAAGGATTTGTAACCACTTTGTATCAAAAGTGAATGGTCTCATTCTATACAATCCCAAAAAATATATATATGAAGATTGACAAGAACCATCCAGTTCTTTAAGAGAATGGTATAGATGTTTTAATCATGTAGAGATTCTAGATAGATCCCAAAACTTAAAATCATAATTTTTATTTTGTGGGAATGATATAGATACTTTAATCCTGTAAAGATTCTACATAGAACCCAAAACTTAAGAGATGCGGTTTGAGCCTAGCCTCTAAACAATCAAATTTGAGCCTACCTTCAATTAGTGTCGATAAATGTGGTTTCAATATGGGAAAT